CACTTCCCTTTAAACCTTTTTTTTGTAAAACATGTTATAATCTTTATGAAAATATCACAAATAATGACAACAATGCCAATAACACCATTTATTCTATAAATTTTCTAAAAAATTATTTGTATAATGTAAAAAATAATGGTATATTTCTAAATAAAGCTTCTCATGAAGCTTTTATGGGGACATTATGTCTAAAATGTGATAATACTCCTCCAGTATCCTCTGTCTTAATTTATATTCATAAACCTTACAAACATATAATATACTCCAATGAAGCACGTGAAGAGTGCTATCTCCATGAATTGAAAACGGGGGGAACAATCGCTGTATATTCCCAACATATCATATTTGATTGTCCCATTTGTTTAGAAGAAAAACAAGGAAACCCCGTTATTTTTTCTTGCTGTCATTGTCTCTGTAAGAATTGTTACAGTACATTCATACAAAACCACAAAATTTCAGAAAACCAACTTAAATGTATGCTGTGTAGAGTATGTGTTATAGTTCGTGCTCCATCTGGTATAATTTATTAGGAGAATTGTTAATATTCCCCCCAAAAAATATATAATTCATGCTCCATCCGGTTTCCGGTTTCAATTTATTAAGGATCTTAAAACTTCTTTATGACATTTAACACTTTCAGTTAGAAATATATAACTTCGTCGATGATCAACCATGTTACGATTTATCTTCAATAGTTTTTGTACTGAAATTTGGTTTTCACATAAAATAATTAATGGTGAAAATATGTGTGGTTGTTGTTGTTTAATTCTCATATCTAAAATTAATTTAAAAAAAAGAACACCATCTTTTTTGGATATATCTATTGCCAAAGAAATAGAATTGAAATTTAGATAGGGGTTTAAAAATGATGTATTATTAGTATAATCAATAATATTATTAATTCCATTATAAATATAAAGAAAAGAAATATTATTTTCTTGATTATTTTGGGTAATTTTAAGATGTTTCATTTTCGAAAGAACTTGTAAGGATTCTTGTTCTATATATGGTATTTTCTCTAGCATGTGGTTCAAGTGCTAATATCACAGATTCCTCTAGAAGAGAAATGGGTGTTTTGTGAATTGAAAGCAGCCTTAATAAAGTCAGAGATTTGTTGATTGTTAACTTGGTGGTCAATACCGTAGAATTTTCCATTAATAATATATAAATTTACAGCTAAGGTAGAAAAACATTTGGGACACGTTGTCACCGTTTCTTTGTCGTCGTCGTCGTATTTAGTTTCTAACCAAGAATAAAAACCCATACAGTGTAAACAATAAAATAAAGGTAGTGTATTTGTTAAGGTATCCTCCATTTTTTTTTTTTAATTTGTTTTTTTTAATATGATTTTTACTATAAATACAATGATGAGGTACTTTAATTATTATTAATAAACTACACACAGACAGACAGATTACGATATCAAGATGTTGAACAGACAAATTAAGACAACTAAACAAATACCAGAACAAAACAACTTAGTCAGTGGTGCTCCTTCTCCTCAATATAAACGTTTTCTGGATAAAAAGTCATCTCAAATTCCAATTCCTAAGAGACAATCATCTTTTTATCACCGCCCACCATCACCAGCATCATCAGTAACATCTACAGCAGCAACAGCAGCAATTAATCTTACATCTCCAACTAGAAATACGTCAGTTTATTATAATGAAGAAGTGATTCCAAAGTCTTCAATTTATTTTAGTACAATGGAAATAAATAATAAAAAAGAAGAAGTAATTAGTATAATAGAGGCTGTCCTATCTGATGTTACCTCCAACAACAACAACAACGACGACTCCTACAATAATTTGTATAGTGGTTTACCCAATGAACTACAACACCTAAATTCTATGATGACAGTTCGAGAAAATCAATTGAAAAGTAAAATATATATTGATTCTATATTATCTCAATTTACTAAAAAATGTAGCGACCAAAATAATTATCAACCTTCTTTAAAATTAAAGATTTCACAAATGGGAACTGTAAATAAAATGAAAAGATATATTATTGTCGATAGTTCTCTTCGAGAATTAAATGTTCATTTATTGGAAGTGAAGTGTCGTCTGTTTTCGGGAGGTGGACATTATAAAGAAGTGGTGAATAAAATTTCTAATATAGAATTCGACGATGATATTAATCAAATTATACAACTGAAGTTAATTGATCCATTAATTAAAGAATTAACCGACATTCACGGTGAAAATTTAATACAACCCACCAAATGGAGTGTTTCAATGTATGCAGATCCTCATAGAAACAAGAAATGTCCTCTCCCATGTAAGGATATCCTATCTAACAAAGACCCACAATATCAAGACGAATGCCTAATGAGCCGCATTAATTTGGGAGTACATTTTTTTCCTTTTATAAAGACTACTACCACCACCACCACCACCACCACCACCACCACCACCACCACCACCACCACCTCAGCCTCTGTTGATGTAGAAAAAGAACTGAAAATTATCAATAATACTCCATTGGGTGGTTTAGTACTTAAACCCAATGGAAAATCCGTATATGGTATAGGATCCAATTTAGTAAATATCGATTCAGAAACATTTGTAGATACTCAAAAACAAAATACTTTTCCTGTTAATGCTTTAATTTCATTTGGTTTAAATTGCATTGGAGTTCATGAGGGTAATTTAATATTATATTTGTCCTATTTAAATAGTGTATATTATTCAGATGTTTCTATGGATAATATTTCCACAGCACCACAGCAAATAAGACAAATACTTAAAACATCCAAAGATATCAGGAGAGCTATAAGTAAAAAGTATGCTGTAACTATAAGTAAACTTATTAGAGAATACAATGAGACAAATAATGATTGTTTTTATAGAGGGTTTAAAAGGGAAACTGCCAACCTGTTGGAAAAGGAAACAGATGTTTGTGAATTTGAAGAAACAGAAGGAGAATTTGAGAATATTAATCAAATAAATAATTATGAAGTGGTTGAGGATGAGGAAGAAGAAGATGAGAATGAGGAGGAGGAGGAAGATGAGTAGTGTGAAGAATTATTATTATAAAAAATGAATTATAATAATGACACGTATTTTAAATCCTTAAATCTTTTACAAAAAAACAACTTGCATCAATTAAGATTTATTTATTATATATTTGATAGGCTAAGACTTTTATGTTTTAATGTTTCAACAGAAATAAAATTAATGTCTATTTTTACTTTAGAGTTTCAAAATGTTGCCCATTCTATAAAAACATATAATCATTTAAAGTTTTTAAATTATCTAGCAACACATGATACTCCAGTTTATGTTGTAACTCACGATAATAATAAAAATAATAATAAAAATCTTATGACTATTACTAAAGATGCATATTTTCATTTGGTTGCAATAAAATACATAATAAGTTTCATTTTAAATTTTGAAAATCATTTATTAGAATATTTACAATTACTAAAACATAAATTATCTATAATAATACAAAGTATGAATCATTTTGTAAATATTTTCAATTTATTTTTCAAATGAGGAGGAGGTCTTTTCTCCAAAATCCCAAATTATTGTTAGTTATTTTAGTTAGTGCAATAAAATACATAATAAGTTTGTTCATTTTAAATTTTAAAAATCATTTATTAGAATATTTACAATTACTAAAACATCTATAATAATACAGAGTATGAATCATTTGGCAAATATTTTCAATTTACTTCTTCATTGATAGTGTATGCAGTATGCGGAGTTTTCTCCAAACTCCCAAATTATTATTAATATTTTTTTATTCTAACATTCTTAATTGTTCCGCCTTCCTCTTTCTTTACACAGTGCTACAGACAATTTTTTCATCTGTGTACTTGGCAACAATGTTTGCGCAGGTGTTATCAAACATGGAGAGGAGAGAACGTTCTGCAGCCCTGTCAGTAACCCTGCAAATAGCACCTTTGCGCCCGCCTTATCGAGCAAAGGCCACTGGCAGGTCTATTAGTACTGTAACACAATAAATGATTCATAATTGGCGGGTTTTGTGTTTGTGTTTGTGTGTGTGTGTGTGTGTGTTTGTGTGTGTGTGTGTGTGTGTGTGTGTATGTCTTCCTCTTTTGTTTTCTTTTCTTTCCCTTCTTCTATTTGAAGATCCTTAAATTCCTTGCCTTCCTCATCCTTTATAATATTCTTCTTCTTTTTAACACTTATTGTGAATCTCTCAATATCTTTTCCATCTATAATATGTCCTCCCACATTTTTACCTGTGGAAAGATCTTTTTTTTTAGGGTGTTTGTCTTTCTTCTCATTAAAAAAAACTTCTAATTCTTCTTTCTTCTCATTAAAAATAACTTCTAATTCTTCTTCCTTCTCGTCAAAAAAAACTTCTAGTTCTTCTTTCTTCTCAGTAAAAAAAACTTCTAGTTCTTCTTTCTTCTCAGTAAAAAAAACTTCTTTCTTTTCCTCATTATCAACTTCCTTTTCCTCATCATCAACTTCTTCCTTTTCCTCATCATCAACTTCTTCCTTTTCCTCATTATCAACTTCCTTTTCCTCATCATCAACTTCTTCCTTTTCCTCATTAATTTCTAATTCTTCTTCTTCATCATCAACTTCTAATTCTTCTTCCTTTTCTTCATCATCAACTTCTAATTCTTCTTCCTTTTCCTTATCATCAACTTCTAATTCTTCTTCCTTTTCTTCATCATCATCATCAACTTCTAATTCTTCTTCCTTTTCCTTATCATCAACTTCTAATTCTTCTTCCTTTTCCTTATCATCAACTTCTAATTCTTCTTCCTTTTCCTTATAATCAACTTCTAATTCTTCTTCCTTTTCCTCCTCATTAACTTCTAATTCTTCTTCCTTTTCCTCATTAACTTCTAATTCTTCTTCTTCTTTCTTCTCATCCTTAACTTCTAATTCATCTTCATTAACTTCTTTATCAAAATCTATGTTCTTCTTAATGTCTTTATCAAAATCAGTTTCCTTCTTAAGGTCTTTCTTCTTTTCTTCAAGTTTGTTCTTTTCTTCTTCATTCTTCTTTTCTTCAACTTTGTTCTTTTCTTTTTCATTCTTCTTTTCTTCAACTTTGTTCTTTTCTTCTTCCTTCTTAACGTCTTTCTTCTTTTCTTCATCTATTTCCTTCTTAACGTACTTCTTTTCTTCATCTATTTCCTTCTTAACATCTTTCTTCTTTTTTTCATCTATTTCCTTCTTAACTTCTTTCTTCTTTTCTTCATGTATTTCTTTCTTCTTTTCTTCCTCTATTTCTTTCTTCTTCTCTTCTTTCTTTGGCGGCTTCTGGGTTTTTTCGAATTGTCCAACTCCGTAGTGCCGTGTGAAACAGTGTGACTCTTCACCTTCACTCTCTTTCTTCTTTCCCTTAAACTTCTTTACTAATTTTCCAACTTTAAATTCCCTCTTAACACTCTCTTCCTTTTCCATTTTATCTTCAATTCTCCTCTTCTTTTCTTTTACTGTGTTATTTATTGTTTTAGTTAATTGGGGAATTTGTTCAGTAGGCAAAGGTATCTTAGTTTTCCGTAATTCAGAAGTAAGATACTCTTCCATTTAGAAGCTCCTACTGTTAACACACATACAATCACCACCAATATATACCCCCAGAGCTCGCGAGTGCGCACGCACTCTCAAGAACCTTCAGGCTAGCTGTGTGAACAAACAATAAATCCGATACATTTAGAATATTTTTATACTAACCACCACCGCATTCATTCTCAAACCTTAAGGCTAGCTGTGTGATTATTTATTTTCTTTATAAATGTTTTTAGCTGTGGTGTGGATATTTATTTTCTTCGTATACTACATAATTGGGGACTTTGCACATTAAATCTCGGCGGTGTTGGCAGTTTTTCCTTAAAAAATACATTATAAAAATGGATCAAGTTTTTCATCTTAAAAAAATAGGAGAGGAACAAACAATAAATCCGATAAATTTAGAAGATTTTTATACTAACCACCACCGCATTCATTCTCAAACCTTAAGGCTAGCTATGTGATTATTTATTTTCTTCATACACTCACTGAAATGTTTGTAGCTGTGGTGTGGATATTTATTTTCTTCTTTGTATACTACATAATTGGGGACTTTGCACATTAAATCTCGGCGGCGTTGGCAGTTTTTCCTTTAAAAAAATTACATTATAAAAATGGATCAAGTTTTTCATTTTCAAAAAATAGGAGGGAGAGGACCAAACAATAAATCCGATAAATTTAGAATATTTTTATACTAACTACCACCGCATTCATTCTCAAACCTTGAGGCTAGCTGTGTGATTATTTATTTTCTTTTAACAGAACATTTTTATCATTTTATATCTCATCCATCAAAGGTGGTTGTCACTATTATACAATTGTGCAAACTAACGATAAAAAGCATTAATAAAATATGGATACTTATGTTAAATTATATACATCATTGCTATTTAGTCTTAAATGGCAATGGGGCTGCCGACTAAGACTTAGTGGGTAGTTTTCACTATTTAGTGTGACATATATATATATATATATATATATATACATATATATATACATATATATATATATACATATATATATACAGTATATATATACATATATATATATATATATATATATATATATATATATATATATATATATATATATATATATATATATATATATATATATATATATATATATATATATATATATGTATATGTATATATAAATATATATATATATATATATATATATATATATATCATGTAAATCCACAATGAAAACGTGGATAAGATAAATCTTGATAAAATCACACGGGAAAATGGAAACAACGGAGCACCTTAGCTTTCGTCTTTATTCAAGACATCTTCTGAGGCAACTGGACTACATGGACAGAGAGAGGCTTAAATATACAGGGTGACCTTAAAAACATGATGTCAGGTCATAATGATGTCATCCACTAATCCCCACACCAACTCACACGTAGAGGAGATTAAGAGAAGGGGGGGGTGGCAGTGACTAGTCAGGTCAGGTCAAAAATAAGGAACCCACAAAATAACTATCATACATCTAGATCAAAGGTTTTCAAAGCATTTTTAACCTTGGCCCACTGACAAATAAATTAATGTAACATATTATCAGTTTTGAACTGACCATCACTAAGGTTTATTGATTTTAATTCCTTAATCAAACTAGCTTCAACCAGAAGTCTTTCTGTGACACAAGATGATTTAAATACTTCTAAGCTTTTTTCCCAAGCAATGGGGTGATTATTATTCCTAACATGAACGAACAAGGTACTGCTTTCAGATGCTGTTCTGATATTATACTTATGTTGTTTGATTCTGAGCTGCAGTGTTTTTCCTGTCTGTCCTACATAATTACAATTACATTTGCTACATGGAATACAATAAATGTAAATGAAGTATTTATTATTATTCCATGCAGTGTTTTTCTGTTTGTCCTACATAATTACAATTACATTTGCTACAAGAATACAATAAATGTAAATGGAAGTGTTTATTGTATATGTATATATATATATATATATATATATATATATATATATATATATATATATATATATATATATATATATATATATATATATATTTCATGTAAATCCACAATGAAAACGTGGATAACATAAATCTTGATAAAATCACACGGGAAAATGGAAACAACGGAGTACCTTAGCTTTCGTCTTTATTCAAGACATCTTCAGAGGCAACTGAAGATGTCTTGAATAAATATATATATATATATATATATATATATGTTGTCTTTTTTTAAAGGGGTCGATTGTAATATTCTGAACTTTCAGTGTAATTTCAAACGCCGCGCCATTGGCGATACTGAGTTTCAAGGTCATCTGAGGGGGGACAGCACTTATCAACAGTAGTGAGAGAGTCGCGAACTGCACCCATATAATATTAAGTATACTTTGGCGACTTAATCTTGAGGCGAATTATGAAATGAAATATCAGTTATTAAATTTAAAATAATTATGGATCGTTTCCCAGTCTGAAAATGTTGTGTACGTCCTAATTAAACTGTTAATCGTCTGGTAAATAAGTCACTCCTGAAAAGCGTGAACGCTTGAGAGCGCATGGGTTAGGGAGTCGGGAGAGAGAAAGAGTCCGGAGAGATGATCTTGTGAACTGGTTTCCTTCATTTATTCAACATCAGTATTAACAAGTAAGTTTTATTCAATCTCTCAGAGCTAAGATAGGGCGGAAGAAACAAACAATGAGTGAGCAATAGCTAACAGAGGGTTTTTGGCAGGGATTCTGTAGACCCCACACGAGCGGTGAAGCGGGCTTTATCAGGCGAGCGGTGTTGCGACTGGTGAAGCGGGCGGTATGAAGCGTCCCCACATGAGCTGTATGAACGTCCACTGACCTGAGTTTGAGCCACGCTGTTGAGTATGGTGAGAGTTGGAGTGAAACCAGCTGTCTGGGTGCCCAACTAACGATGTGACGATCGTTTGGGGTCATCAGCTCTCCTCTACCTGGGCTCACAATATCACATATCTTCAAGCAGCTCAATGAAAACCTTTTAATAACGGGAAGTAAAGCTTCTCTCAACTAAACAAGGTCTGATTGGCTTACTCCCTTCTGTTTCATGGATGTACTGAGTGTAAAATGAGGCCAGCTGAGTGAATACAGGGTCACACACTGGGACCAGGAGTTTAGTGGAACTTTGAGGTACATTTTTCAAGGTTGAGAAAGGCTTGTTTGGGCCATAACTATGGGTGCCTGTTGGTTGTGCCTTAAAAAAACTACGGGTGCATGTGGAATCTATGTGTTAGGTTAAGAAGCATGGCTTACGGGTATTGGTGGAATCAGTAACTTCTTAAAATAGTGATAATATTTTCTTGTGACTCATATAGTCTTGCTGTGTGTAGTTAATATTTCTTAAATAATTTTGATAGTATTGTTTTTTAATGTTTGTGCCACTAATTGAAACCAGAGACTGAGGGAACTGTTTTTCAGATGAGGTATCTCCCTTCTGTTGTAAGTGATACTCTGATTTAGTTCCTTTAATGCATTTAATATTTCTTTATAATTTCACTGTCAGGTATATCCTTTGTTCCCCAGAGTAGTGTTTTAAGTTCAGGTTAAGAGATGAGCATATGTTGGTGTACCATTATTTGATTGTGTCTGTAGTGTTGGAGGGAATATAAGTGTCTAAATCTTACAGTGTGTCTCATTCATCCCAATCACAGATGCTATCCTTCCACGGGTCACAGAGAATTCATTTTGTTTGTAAATTTAAGTGTTCCTGTGCTGGTTTGGGTTTTTCTCCAAGGGGCGCTTCCACTGCAATTACCATCTAATAATTAATAAACCCCTCAACTGGCTCAGCCATGTTACTATTGTTATTATTATCTACTCTGTATCTGTATTTTTCTGGCTAAATAAACTGTTACAATTCAATATATATATATATATATATATATATATATATATATATATATATATATATATATATATATATATATATATATATATATATATATATATATATATATATATATATATATATATATATATGTATATATATATATATATTTCATGTAGATCCACAATGACAACGTGGATAAGATAAATCTTGATAAAATCACACGGGAAGATGGAAACAACGGAGTACCTTAGCTTTCGTCTTTATTCAAGACATCCCGTGTGATTTTATCAAGATATATATATATATATGTATATTGTTACGACAGTGTCGTATTTTTCTATTTTTTTTTTATAACATGCTTCCATGTTGTTGCATATTATTCCTGTAATGATGTGTTATATTTACTATTATATAATCTAGTCACCTTACCCTGTGCTGTTAAGGTTTTAACTGTTATTATTTGTTCAAGCCCATCTTATTTCTTCATTTAGTATTGTAACAAGCATTCTTTGTTTCTCTAATGACCATCTGCATCGTTAAACGACCCAGTTCTGGTGAAGTTTCGATGTTTTAGTATCATTGTCTTAAAGGTTAGATGGTGAATCAATTTGTTGTTGTTGTGACAGTAAGATTGTCTATCTGAGGAGGCAATTTTTTTTTTTAGTTTGAAAAAAATCGGCCCATGGTATTAATGATGTAGTTCTATGTGTGCAGAATCGTAGCCAAGTCTTCAGATTTGAAAAGTGTTTATTTTTTGTAGGTAAATTTTAGCGAAATCTTATGAAAATTCAGTATTCCCACCCTTTTACCAACACCACTAAATAGCTTATTTAAAGTAAAATAAATGTATCAGGTTAATTTATTAGGATGAAAATGATCCAGAATAGTGAAACGAATGATCTTGACACATTTATTAAATTTAATATTCCTTTAGAAAACAAAATCATCAAATACAAAAACCGGTTTTACTACTACGACCCGGTGTTCCTGCACACCATAGAGAACATGTCTTTCTTGCTTCTGTTTTTACTCATCACCTCCCTGCTGACCACCTGAGCTCGGATGTAGCCTTCCCTCCTCTCCTGGCTGGCCTGCGTGTTAGCTGGCCTCCGCTCACTTGCTGCTAGCGCTCTACTCTCTGGGTGTGCAGGGCAGGCAGGGACATCATGGGGTTGTCAGGAAGCTCTGACTTGAACATTGGCAGGCAGGCTGCAGGTAGGGGCTCACTGCCAGCTAGATGTTATCCAGATCTATGAGATCAGTGAGGTCTTGGCACCTGAATTGACTTCAGGAGTCTTCCTGACCCTGAAGGAATCGTCACCAACTGATTCGTCATGCAGATCACTCATAAGTCTCATATCAAGATCTTTTGACTGCCACTCTTCTCTCCTCCTCATCCTTACTGCAGAGCATTGTCTGCAGAACTGCCTCGGGATGAGCATACCAGGAAGATCTCCTCACAGTCTGCTCCACAATCTGAACAACCTTCCTTGGCTGACTCCTCAGGAGCTCAAGATGGAAGAGAACATGCCTCGGACCTTCGGAGAACGATGACTTGACCTTGGTGTTGAACCAATTTGGCAAGTAGACACTCACGATGAATTGGACAATAAGTCTCAGGTTGTGAAGCTAGTTCCCTTTCAGTTTATGATGAGCGACCCAAATTCTGCAGAACCTGAGAGCCGTTGTGAGCCACCTAGAATGTGAGACTGGACCTATCTGCAGGTAAGCAAGTCTATCAGACATGACCCCAGTTTTGATGGCACTGCAAATCATGTAACCATAGTACTAGTCAGTACTCAGGTCGTCAATGACAGTATGTGCAAGCTCAACGAGTGGAGGGCCAACTGTGATTTTTTCAAAGCTCGGATTTATTTCTAACTCAGTGGCAGAGTCCAGCATCTTGCCAAGAGGACCAGATCATGTGTTGTTTGAAAGAGTCTTGCCATCCAGCTCCTGGATCAGATGTCTGAGTGGCAACTCGTTGGTGTGGCGGTCACAAACAATCCAGACCAGCTTCCTACCAATCTTCTGCTCTATCCACTGTATGACCCCCCCTTGCCACCCTGTGTTCGTGTTGGTGCTGTCCCCTACAATGGCCTGCAGGGTCTGGTCTACGTTCCTCTCTCTGAGCCAGTTCACAATGTTATCTGCCACTGTCTCAGCTGGTTTCCTGATGTCATCTTTCTCTGGAGTGAAATGCCACAAATACTTCCCTCCTGGTTCACTGCAGCAGGAGTAGTGTTCCTCCTTCACCATGGCAGGGAACAACTTGTCAGAATCTCCAACTTTCATGAACACTTTAGTGTCATCCCTTCTCCCATCAAAAGAACAAACAATTGATTCATTTTCTCTTATCCCTTATCAAACTCCTCTTCTAGGTTACTGACAAGTTTCTCCTGAGCTCTCCTTACTTTGTTATGATCTATCACCAGGTGAACATCATCAGGTGTTATCAAACCACCGTCAACCCAGGCAGCTGTTGCTATCTCTGCAGTTTCTCTGAAACCAGTGTGGTGTCGCATGCTGGCCAGAGCTATGCTCGGGATATCTTTCCTATTTCGAATCTTATGCCTGGAAGGTTTGGGATCATTATTTTTTGGGTTAGGGACAAAGTCACCATTCTCCTGGTCAGCACTCGGATCAGCCATGGGGAAGTCATTAAACTCTGAATCAGCTTGACTCCAATCATCGGCCTTTTTTTACCTCACCCTGGGCCTTCTCAAGTCTCTTTTCCTCGGCAACTCTTCTCCTCTTCTGTCTCTCTGTGGCAGCCTCCTGTCTCTTGGACTCCGGAATATCTTAGCTAGAAATCATGAGAGCCCCTATACTGCCAGTCTTCTCTCTCTGTGCTTTGACAAATGCCAGTTCGATCACAGGAATCTTCAGTTCACGCTTGCAAATACAGGAGATGTGG